AGTGACTAACTAACTTCTGATGGGTTCCTTGTCACAAGGCAGGCATCTGACCTCTAAGTGACCAAGGCAAGTTTATGGCAAGCACGTGTTCGGCTGTTATGGCTGCCGAAAGGGGAGCAGGTCCCTTCAGTACCAACTTCTGGAACTGGAGTTTCGAGTGAGTGGTTGTGATCCTCAATGTGGGTGCTAGGAACCAAACCTGGGTCTTCCGTAAGAACAGCAAGTACTCTTAATCACTGAACCATCTCTCCAGACCCTACCTTCTTCATTTCTTGTATTTCTCAACCTGACATAACTAATCATTCTTTGTATCTACTTCCTTCACTGTTGGAATCACTGTGGATTCTGTCTCCTGCTATGTTGGTTACAACACACACAGCCTCTAGGCTTCCGAGATGTTGCAGGCAGCTCCTTACCTCCACTTTAATGTATCTTCCTCCACAGATCCTCAGAGCATCTTTAGTCACTTCCTCTCCTGAACATCCTTGTCTCAGCACAGTTGGGTTAAGAAACCAGAAATCACTCCCACTATTTCAAGTCCAAAGAGATTTTCTAATACAGGAACATTCATGCTTAAGTCCTGGTTTCTTTCCTAGCTGTATAGCTGTGGCCAGAGTGCTCTCTCCATAAAGTGGTTTCTAACCTCTAGAGATAGTGACAGTCCTAACTTCTAGGCTGTTCTGAAACTTAAGTACAGCACACCATGAAAAATCTCCAGTGTCAAGCATATAGTTAGCGCCCAATAGCCATAAGCTATTGCTATGGTTATCATTATAACCCCCTAAACCAGGGTGGGAGAGATGACTCAGGGGTTAAGAGCACTGACTGCTCTTCCAGAGGTCCTGAGTTCAATTCCCAGAAACCACATGGTGGTTCACAGCCATCTCTAATGAAATATGGTGCCCTCTTCTGGCCTGCAGGGATACATGCAAACAGAACACTATCTAGACCACTCCAGCACACCTGAATACAGTATCTCAGAGCACATAGCGGAGGAACCAGGAAGGGAGGGGCTGCTTCAACACAAGATGTCATCTGTGACTGAAGAATAGACCAGCTGAGGCTGAATGATATGCAGGTCCCATAGGACAAAGCGCTTCTCAGACTGCCTGTCCATATCACACATGCCAACCTCTTCACCTGCGCTGAGCTGATCTCTCTCCTCTGGGCACACTTTGAAATTGTAATTAAAATATAATATATGCACATTTTTAAAAGTCAGAATACAAACGGCATAGTTAACAAGAAAATAAGTCCCCTGACCATCCCCAAGCCTGGTCCCTCAGCTCTCTCACCTCGGAACAACCATTGTGAAAAGGCTCCTCTGGTCTCTCTTCAGACATGTTCTAAACATATATGATGAACTCAGCGTGTTTTCACATTTCACAGTGCATACACTAGTGCCTCTGGGGTTGCTGGTTTTGCTTTTCTGAATTATATCTCTCCGAGGACCAGATACTGATATAAACGTAGCTACTGTCCTTTTTTTCATATTGTTCTTTAAAATATCTGCCTTGTTTTGTTTTGCTTGAGACAGCATCTCATATAACCCACGCTGACCCTGAATTCTCTGTCGTTTTGCTTCAGTCTCCAAACTGCAATGATTATTTGCCTGCACTACCACACCTGGCTCTGCTTAGCAGCTCTGAGTTGGATGCTAGTTATTTGATCAGCTCCTTCTGATGAAGTTCAAGTGGCTCCCAGTCTTGCTATTACAAACAAGGCTGTAAAAAAATCCTCTGATACACCAGTTTGTTTGTTTGTTTGTTTGTTGTTTTTATGATGCAGAAAATGTCTGACATCTTACAGCTGGAGCCCCAAAGGTCACCTTTATGGTCTTGTATTGAAACACAGGAGCGAGAAATCAAAACCCCCATTCCAGTCCAGATCCATGTCACCTGGCCACTCTTCGAGCCCAGCTTCCCTGCAGATTAGGCTGTGGTAGGGGCACCTGCTTTACATTGCCTCACAAGGGGGCATGCAATGTGTGAAAGCTCAAGAGTGCTGTACTCACACATGGAATTCTTTTTTTTCTCCATTTTTTTACTTGAAATAGAAACAAGATGGTTTTACATGTCAAACCTAGTTCCCTCTCCTTCCCCTCCTCTCTTACCACCCCCCCCCAACTAACATTCTACTTATCCTATACCCTTTCTGCTCCCCAGGGAGGGTGAGGCCTTCCATAGGGGATCTTCAGAGTCTGTCATAGCCTTTGGGATAGGGCCTAGGCCCACCCCCGGGTGTCTAGGCTCAGGGAGTATCCCTCCATGTGGAATGGGCTCCCAAAGTCCATTCCTAGGCTAGGGATAAGTACTGATCTACTACAAGAGGCCCCAAAGATTTCCAAGGTCTCCTCACTGACACCCACATTCATGGGGTCTGGTTCAATCCCATGCTGGTTTCCCAGCTATCAGTCTGGGGACCAAGAGCTCCCCCTTGTTCATGTCAACTGTTTCTGTGGGTTTCACCAGCCTGGTCTGGACCCCTTTGTTCATCACTCCTCCTCCTCTGCAACTGGATTCCAG